GCGGCGGCGGGGGGACCGCGGGCGGCCCGGGGTCTCCCCGGGGGGAGGCACCCGCGGCCGCATCGCTCCTGGCTCCGAAAGGCTCCGCGGAGCAGAGCGGGATTCGCTGCCGCCGAGAAGCCCGCAAAGGGGAGCCGAGGGTCTCCTCTCTGTGGAGGGAATCACGAAAATCCAATCCGGAATCTCCCTAGGACTCCAGTACGACCGGGAAAATGGATTTATGGAGCCAGCAGTACAAGTGCAAACTCTGCTGTTGGGCTCGCCATGAGCTAATAGCAGACCTGGGGTTTAAAGACGAAGGCTTGGGGATTTTTCTTCAAATTATTACAGATTTAGTTTCTCCAAATCCTATCTTTTTAAATAACTACTCATAGAAATTAAGTCTGTTCTTTGTTGTGTGACTTGTTTTGGCACTAAAAAGGCAGCAAAAGCCCCCACTCAGGATCCCTGTGTCTCCTTCTCCAGTCAGGGAAGGACAAGACTTACTCTACCCTAATGTATCTGGAGTGATATAAAGAGTGTTAGAGCTCTTAGCCTAGAGAGCCAACAGAATAGAGAGCCAATAGAGAGCCAACAAAATAAAATCTGTTACTTCTTAGGCAACTTCCTAAAATTGTCACAAAAAAAATCCTAGAACATCACTCTAGTTCACGCTTAAGAAATTAGCACTACTTTCTCACATTCAGACAGATTTATATTTAATATTGGAAGGAGAATTTAGCTTTTGTCACCACTGAATCCTAAACTGCATGACTAAAGCAGTGGTGCTGAGGCAACGTGCACAAACTTTGCTTTCCTAAGTAATGCCTCCTACAGTTTATATAAATGAAGGATCAAATTCTGCCAGTACTCATGCACATACTCATTGAATTTGCCTGTCCAGAAACAAGGATGTTTTGTGCAAAAATAGCAATGACCTGATTTGTTTCTCTAGTTTATATGCATTTCTTGAAGAAAGTAGAGGTGTGCATATATATGCAAATGTGTATGATGTGCGTATGATATTTTATATATATATGCATTTAGTATGCAGTCAGTATGTTATTTATATAAACAAACATATGTGTAGGTATGCGTAATAAGAAAAAAAATAAACAATAACAGCTTCATAATAACATAGCTATGGCCATAACTTGCCAGCACCAGTACACAGACTGGTGCTCGCTATAAATCACCCCTGGCATTTTAAGCTACAAGGCTGGATGGTGAATTGCAGCAGTCGTGTTGCAGGCGCGCACTGTATATTTGGTGTCCAGCACAAGGAGGAAAATGTAGCTGGGAAAGGCATCTTAACCCAATGAAACAAAAATTGTCTGAGCCCTTTTGTTGGACATGCAAAGCATGAAATTTTACTCTGCCCTTTCCATATTATTGCCTGCAATAGTCTGGCCCAGAGAATCTAATTTAATAGCCGAGTATTGCATTTGGATGTGTCTGACTTCTGGGTAACTCAGTCTTTAAGGAAATCTCTCACCTATCTTATGTTTAGCAAATGGTCTTGAGTGAGCTGGTGTAAACTGAAATTATTCAGGGTAGATACTTATGTAAAGAGACCTTTTACTGAGCCAAAGATGCAGCTGTGTGTGTAGGAGCACCAAAGATACAGCCTTGAATGTCGATCCAACGCTTTATGCAAAGCTCTGAAAACTGGTAGGAGAAAGAATATATGTTTGTGAGCTGGGGCTAAAACCACCACGCCAATATAAGAGAGGGAGCTGAAAGGCCAGGAAGCAGCAGCGAGAAATGGGAGCAGCCGCTTGGCTGCAGTACTTCCAAGAGGATCATTCATGGCAGCACCAGGCTAGAAAAATTGTTGTGTAATGGGGACATTTATGGCCTGCATCCATCACTATCAACATTTTGTGAGCTGGGAATAAAAAACATCAACATTTGTAGTTTATCAGTAGTTCACATATAAGTTTCGTGTTATGAGCAGTCCATTAGAGCCACAGCTGTCGCTTGCTTAGCAATTTGGGGTGCATTTGTTTCATCCTGCAAACATCTCTGTGAGGTCTTTTTGATTTTCTTTCAGACCTTTGTCACATTTTTCGTTTTTTTCTTTGTTCGTCTGTTAAAACTGCACTTCCCTCACACAGCTGGCAGGTAGAAAGTAATGGTATTTAACTATTATCTCAAGGGCTTGGAGGAAAAAATATTTGCAGTTCCTGACCTTGGAAATGTATGTTTTATTAGCTCTCTACTCTATATCACAACATAACTTACTTCTATTCAGAACACATACTAACTATCCTGTAGAAATATATTTATTTAAAAACAGATGACACTCAAGAATTCACTCATTCAAGCATCTAAGAGACACTCAGTGTAAAGAGATAAAAAATAATTAATGGCAAAAACAGAAGTTAAAATATATAGAAACAGATATACGGCCGAGGTTTAGTCTACCAAGCCATCTCACCAAAAATCTTCCGTTAAAGCTAGGTTCTGAAATAGGGAAGAAGAGTTAGTGGAAGGTAGCTGGAAGCCAGTGTGCATTAGGCCTCTGAACCCAATTTAGCAAAGTAACTGGGGATGTTTTTAAGTTTAGTTGTATGGTCAAGACAAGCTATATTTAGTAGCGCTGTTGAACGTATGTTTAAGCTCCATCAGTTTCACTTACTGCAGCTGAAATGCTTTTCTGCACAGGGATAGACGAAGGCACATGTGTATATTTAGAAACATGAAAATACTGAGGAAGGAGGAAAGAGGTGAGAACTGGTGTCATCAACCTATTCAGCACAGGTGAAAAATCCTTTCAGATTAGGTCTGGTTCTGCTGCTCATGTTTCAAATTAAAAATATATGTATGTATTGGAAACGGCAGGGAAGAGTTACAGGAATAATTTGCCTGAGAAATGTGACGTTCAGGTTTCCTGACAGAGCAGAGGACACCGGTGGGTCAGAAGCTGAGTCTGAAACAGTTGGAAATGTCCTGCAGAGGGAGAAGTTCACTAATAATGGGTGGCTTTTTAATCTTTCAGGAAAGGCGATAGAAACAGCAGTAGCTAAAGACTGATTCTGTAAGGATTCAGGCCATAGATAAGGTGCTTGTTTTTAGAGCTGAGGTTAATTAATGACTGAAACACTTGATTTAGGGTTGTAATCTATTTGCGATCATTTAAAGTCTTAAATTCAAGACTGAGTGCATTCTTAAAGCATCTGTCTTAGCTTCCCTAGCACATTTGTCTTGATGCAGACATTACCAAACCATATTCAAAATGTTGTGAGGAAAGGAAATTTATATGATTGAGGTTATTCCTTTTGTCCTTGAGTGAACAGTTCTCCTGGTACATATATATTTTTTTAAATTCTGTATGAGCATGATATGTCTCCTACCTAAGGTTGCTGGGTGAAATCATGAAGTAACTAATCTTACCAGAAAAGATTTCCACGTTTTTTTCTTTTGTTATTCATACAGAACCTGTCTTAACTTAAACCAATGCTAAAATATGGCATACAAATGACAATAAAAATCAAAAGCAAGAGAACTATGGTTTTTGTAAGTTCATAATCTCCCGTTGGAATGTTTTAATTCACTTTGTAACCTCTGTATTATGAAATATTATTTTGTATTTTAAAATATTTATAATGATAAAACTAGTATCAGTATTTTAATGAGTTAAAATAGGTGCAGATAGAGTGCTCATGCAATGAAAATCTATTAGCAATCAGTGAGATTTTGAAACTAGATTAAAAAAAGGAATATTTTTTAAAAAAACACTTTAATTTGGTGGTACTTTTAGGGTATATTGTTTGTACTCTCTGCACATACATGAATGGCCACATCCCAGGGGAACATCTGTCCTGAGAAAATTATCAGGAAAAAAAAAAAAAAAAGGTGTTTTAATTTTCTAGAGTTGAACATTTCAAGATTTTTAATTTGTCTTTTACCAGCTATACTACCAGGCTGCATATGAAAGTCAGGTATGCTTAATTCCAAAAAAAGTCAGTGTAATTTTGTCTCTGACTTCTAGCTTTCCCATCGTTCAGTTTCTCTAACTCTCTGCATATTAACAGGATCTATCAATATTACATTGAATATGTTAATTATATGATGTTTTAGTTGATTATTTTTACTGAAACACCTGCAACCTATGTCATTTAACTTAGGGTTTTACCCTGCTCATTAACTTCGTATTAGATTACATCTTCTACAAAGTAAGTAGTAAGCACAAGTCCTTAATGGGTAATATGGAAGCAAACAAACAGTAATTTCTGTAGTGAAGATGGGCCTTTCCTGAAGACTTTGCTTTGAAATTTGCTAGAAATACACACCTCAAAAGCCTAAGAACAGTCATTCTGTCTTCACTTACTTTTGTCCTTCTCTTATGAGCCATAAAACCAGAG